CTTACATAATGTTCAGTGGGACAGGTGAAAGTCATGTGGGGCATAAGATAACTATTTGGAGTTGTCCTACTCTTTGGAGGACAACTAGCATCCCTACCCAGTGATATCAATAGCACTTCCCATAAATGATTTTGATAACAAAATGTACCCATAAATGTCTAAATGCCACCTAGAGAATGGATGGCACAATCTCCACTGAGAGTAATGCATTAAATGAATGTCTATTATACAAAAAGCAGACGGAACTACACCTGGGAGAGAAGAAGCCAATAATCCAGGGCTGATTAACAGTAGAACAGAAAAGAAATAAAACTAAAAGAATATGGGTATTTACAAGAAGAGCTGATTACTAAGCATCCAGGGTGAAGAGAGTTGAATCTGACCAAAAGAATGGACAGAAATTGAACAACTAGAAATTCTAAAAAGGTAGAGTGCTGATATAATAGGTATAGAGAAGAAGAAAAGATATAAAGTAAGAATGTTAATTAGCCATTATCCCTCAGTATAGCCCCTCCACTCAAGTCTGCACCTGGAGTTAGAAAACCAAAAGGGTAGAACATGCTTGGAACTTCTTAAGCTGAAAGAACTGAAGGAAAAATTCAAGCCTTGAGTTGCAATATTCAAGGATTCTACGAGGAAAATATTGAATGACGCAGAAAGCATCAAAAGAAGATGGAAGGAATACACAGAATCACTATAGCAAAAAGAATCGGTCGACGTTCAACCATTTCAGGAGGCAGCATATGATCAAGAACCAATGGTAGTGAAGGAAGGAGTTCAAGCTGCACTGAAGGTCTTGGTGAAAAACAAGGCTCCAGGAATTGATGGAATACTAACTGAGATGTTTCAATGAACGGATGCAGCACTGGAGGTGCTCACTTGTCTACGACAAGAAATTTGGAGGACAGTTGCCCAGCCAACCGATTGGAAGAGATCCATATTTGTGTCCATTCCAAAGAAAGGTGATCCCACAGAATATGGAAATTATCGAACAATATCATTAATATCACACACAAGTGAAATTTTGGTGAAAATCATTCAAAAGTGGTTACAGCAGTATATCAACAGGGAACTGCCAGAAATTAAAGCCAGAAGAGGACATGGAACGAGGGATATCACTGCTGATGTCAGATGGATCATGGCTGAAAGCAAATACTGGAAAGATGTTTACCTGTGTTTCACTGACCATGCAAAGGCATTCAATTGTGTGGATCATACCAAATTATGGATAACATTGTAAAGAATAGGAATCCCAGAACACTTAATTGTGCTCATGAGGAATCTGACATAGACCAAGAGGCAGTCTATTCGAACAGAACAAGGGGATACTGAGGGGTTTAAAATAAGGAAAGGTGTGTATCTTTTCACCATACTTATTCAATCTGTATGCTGAGCAAATAATCCAAGAAGCTGGACTATATGAAGAAGAATGGGGCATCAGAACTGGAGGAAGACTCATTAACAACCTGCGATATGCAGATGACACAAGCTTGCTTGCTGAAAGTGAAGAAAACTTGAAGCACTTCCTAATGAAGGTCAAAGACTATAGCCTTCAGTATGGATTGCACCTCAACATTAAGATGACAAAAATCCTCATAATTAGACCAATAAACAACATCATGAAAAATGGAGAAAAGATTGAAATTGTCAAGGACTTCATTTTACTTGGATCCACAATCAATGCCTATGGAAGCAGCAGTCAAGAAATCAAACGACGTATTGCATTGGGCAAATCTGCTGCAGAAGACCTCTTTAAAGTGTTAAAAAGCAAAGATGTCACTTTGAGGACTAAGGTGCGCCTGACCCAAGCCATAGTATTTTCAATTGCCTCACATGCATGCGAATGCTGGACAATGAATAAGGAAGACTGAAGAAGAATTGATGCTTTTGAATTATGGTGTTGGTGAAGAATAGTGAATATACCATGGACTGACAAAAGAGTGAACAAATCTGACTTGAAGAACTACAGCTGGAATACTCCTTGGAAGCAAAGATGGTGAGACTTCATATCACATACTTTGAACATGTTATCAGGAGGGACCAGTCCCTGGAGAAGGACATCATGCTTAAAAAAGTACGGGGTCAGCAAAAGAGAGGAAGACCCTCAACAAGATGGATTGACACAGTGGCTGCAACAATGGACTCAAGTATAACAACAATTGTGAGGATGGTGAAGGACTGGGCAGTGTTTCATTCTCTTGTAGAGGGTCTCTATGAGTCAGAACCAACTCGACAGTACCTAACAACAACTCAAGCCAGATCAGTAGTTTCTCTTTTCTCCCAGGACATAGTACTTATTTCAAGCTTCAAGATGTTTTCATGTTGTTTTCCTTTTGAGGATGCTCTTCTCTCTCTTCTCTTGTCTATAAAAAATACATTTCTTCAAGAACCCAGGCAAAGTCTAGGAAATTTTCTGCAAGCACTCCCGGGTTCATGGCCCTTCTCCTTCCTGAGATCCTATACTGCTCTATCACCTGAATACTTTTTAACCAAGCAGTATGTGTCTTTCAGAAAATAATTCTTTATTCTTTCCAACAGCAGTACTCAACAGTTTTCACATATTTCTATGAAAATCTACCTCTTGATACTAAAATAATCCTGTGGGCTCACTTACCAGCTATTGCCCTCCAAAGGAAGTTATGGAAGACTGATTTCTACTCTAACCCTAAAACTGAAGAATCCACAAGTAGGAATGGGAGGGAAATAAAGATGGGCAAAAATATAGTTCTTTCACAGAATTCATTTGGAAAAGAGGACTCTAAATATATACACATATCTTTAAATGGACGAGTCAACATAGAGATGGATTGTAGTTACCTTAGGACATCGATTAGTGTCCTACAAACTTCATCCCTTTCTCTCCATTCTGTGTTTTTATATATTTGGTGTACTTGTTTTTTCCTTATCATCCACTCATTCAATACACATATATTAAGAATCCACATTATGTGTCAGACAACGTGCTAGGTACTAGTAATTATCAATAAGCAAGATTGATAAGATCTCTGTCATCCTGGAGCTTACAGATTAGCAAGAGGGGAAGACTTAAAACAACAATGCAAATAGAGATGAAAATAAATACATAATTGTAAATTGTAGAGTGTGCTTTGAAGGAAGTGTACAAAGACAGGTTTGTCCTTTAGGAAGGACAACTAAGGCAGCTGCACTGGACCCCATGACTTTTTGACCCAGCTGCACTGGACCCCTTTTGACCTTCTGCGCATGTGTGTATGTGCACACGCAAGCGTATATATATCACACACATCAGTGTGCATGTGTGTGTTTCAGTAAATTCTTCACACTAGGGTGGCACTGAACTAGACGAATTACGCCAAACCCACCCACTTCTAGGGACAGACTTAAATAAGGCATAACCTATACAAACACTGTACAAGAACAGCTCTATCTATATAAACACTATACTCATAGTCTATAGTAAAACAAAAAAACCCATTGCTGTCGAGTGGATTTCGACTGATAGCAACCTTATAGGACAGAGTAGAACTGCCCCATAGAGTTCCCAAGGAGCATCTGGTGGATTTGAACTGTCGACCTTTTGGTTAGCAGCTGCAGCACTTAACCACCACGCCACCAGGGTTTCCACAGTCTATACTAGTGGTTCTCAAATGCCAATCCTTCGGTAGATGGCCACTGAGCTCCATAAGAATCTCCTGGAAACTGTTAATGATAGAAATTTCAGTCACCATTCTCAGCAATTTCAATTTAGTAGACCTGGGATGAATTTTTATATATAAAGTTCTGACATTCTGGTAGATTTGGGCCCCTAGACACACGGTGCCTTGAGACTCATAACTTAACTGCTCCATGTTTCTTGTAGCACACTCAAAGCATGGCAAGCCCGTTGCCCACTGCTGTCAGGTCGACTCCAACTCATAGCAACCCTATAGGACAGAGATGACCTGCCTCACAGGGTTTCCAAGGAGCAGCTGGTGTATTCAAACTGCCCACCTTTTGGTTAGCAGATGAGCTCTTAACCACTGCGCCACCAGGGCTCCAAAGCATGGCAAAGTACTATGTTGTTCCGTATCAGTAAGTCCCAAATAAATTGTTTTCAAATAAATAAACAAAGGTATTATGAGGAACGTTATGTTTATGTTTTTGTTTTCCCAGGTATAATGACACATTATCAAGAAGCTTTCACTTAGGGAAAGAAAAATGGCGAGGCAGTACTTCTCAAAATGCAGGACATGAACTGCTAGTGGTATGGCAGATGATTTCACATGCTACTCAAAACTATTTTATGTGATACACAAGATATTTTACAGGGCACATGGACATACACTAAACAACACTGAATCACACACAAAAAGAATAATTATCTTTTCATTTCTCTTTCAATCCTTCCTGCTTACTTCAAGGAGCAATCCTCAGTTAGCTGCTGGTATGCCTTTTGCACCTATCTTCACTTAGCTCAACTTTTTAACAAATGGAGAGCAACCCTCAGAGCCTTCAGCAAACAGTTATCCAGCCAGGATTTAGTAATATTGTTTTCACTGTATTTTGAAAGGCTAATATCCACTTAAAGCATCTGATACTGATTTTTTCATTTACAATAATTAGATAAATCAAAAGAAAGTGAATTTAAAGAAAATCATATAAATGGTATATAGACATGGTAAAAATTATGAGGGTGCTCTGTGAATGAAGTTTAGCAACACCAATGCATAAGGTATTATTAAAAGTAACAATCAACCTACTCTCTCTCTCTCTCTTAAACACACACAAAAATAATTAATCCAATGAACAATCATAAACCACAAAATACTTATAGAAAGACATTTGATGAATAGCTATTCTACCACTTGATGAAGTAGCCAAAATAATTACATTCTATGATATGACAATTATTATGTGTGTGTTTCCTTGACTAAACAGATATCATAATCCTAGTCTGAATGTACATATGAAGAATATATTTATGCTCTAGTCTGAAAACCAGGACAATTATAACTCTATCATTTATAAACTATTCTACAAACCTTATAATCCTTGGGTCTGTAGCAGCCATGATGAGAATGATCTGAAAAAGGATGTACAAAAGAATTAAAGTATAAATATTCCATATCATAAAAAAGAAAATTTGGTTCTATCTTTGGTTTTTGCTACTACCACTGTTTCTATAGTTGTAATTCATAAAGCAGTTTTCAGGAATACCTTCAAATCCTTCAGTAATGTTACATAACCAAAGTTGATAAGTCAACCAATTAAATTTATATTAGTTGTTCAGTAATTAAATGATTTCACAAATACTACTTTCATCAGAGTAAAAGATAACTGAATATAGACTGGAATAATTTTTAGTTGATAAACCAACCTTTCTACATGAAATGGATAAATTTTAGTTGATAAACCAGTTTGTGATGAAATATAATTTCTACATATAAATGTGGTAGGTATTGTTAGGCTACATGTGTATCTATTCTAGGAGCCCATGCTAGAATCAAGCGCTGTAATGAAAAGAGGGCCAGCTTTAGAAGGTGGTAGCGTTTACAGTGCAGACCCCACCACTTCTTGTATGGCCTAGGGAAAATTACTTAACCTTTCTAAGTCTCAGATTCTTTATCTACATGATGGAGATAATAATAGTACCTCTTTCATGATATTGTTTTAAAGATTATACAATACATATAAGCCACTAAAATGTTATTATTACTAACACCATCATCAACACCATTACTATCGAAGTCTAAATCAAACAAGGCTAGGTTCAATTTCCAATTCTACCATTTCTCAAATATACTGCCTTGGTCAAGTTATATATTAACCTGTATTTTGTTCCTCATCTTCAGATATGAAGATAATGCTTTACCTTACCTCAGAGAATCTCTGAAATACTGACAGTCAAGCAAATCAGAACCATAATTTGCAATTCTTATTCACTCATACATTCTGGTCAAAAGTATTCTAACATTCTACATTTTACCTTCCCAAAGCACCTTTTCCAGAAAGAAATTGCCATAAAGATAGAGACCTAGAATAGATTATATTCAGTAAATTCTTTAGCTTTCTTTTATGGCATAAGATGTTGTTTGTTTTCCACGTTCCCCATATCCCTCTAGAAGTCGGCGGAAATATTAATGTCTCTCACATAAGGATAAGTTCTCCATTTAATGTAAGACAATTTACTTCAAGTGTTTTACAAAATTAAAAATAAATCCCAGCCCAACTCCTCTTAAGTCAGCATGGCAACAGGTAGCAGAAGAAATAGAAGAATGACAATGACATACTGAGACTAATTCTCCAAACATGCTAACTTTGAAAATTAAGGTAATAATTTCTGGAGGTGGCATCTTTTTTTTGGAAGATTAAAAGTTTCAATATTTTAAAACTCTGGTATGTCTTTTTCCTTCCACAAACCATTTTGAAACTTACCCCAAATCAGACAGGTTTACAATTTTCTTTCATTTTTACAAATAAAGTTTTGACTTTGATCTGAGGTTTGCCAATGTTCACATTTAATCATCCTCACCAACAAATACTAGAACTATCTTCTAAATGCAGGAAATAACAAAGATAAAAGCCATGGCCCGTGGTCATGAAGTGCTTACAATCTATTTCAGTTAAGTTATACAAAGTTGAATAGTAACAGCATAAAAGAATAGGCTAAAAGTCAGAAATGGCACAGGCAATTAATGCTATGTCATATCAGATAGTAATCTCTTAAGGTTAAAAGCAATGAAAAAAAAACCTCCTAAGGGAGTGGGAACTTGAGCTGGGCCCTAAAGAATAGATCATACTTAAGAAAAGTTTATAAAGAAAAAAGAAGAGCTGTTTCAGATCTTGTATGTGTGACCTTGAACAACTAATTGTGATTCTTTAAACCTTGGTTTTTTCATTTGTAAAATGAGGATAAGTCATATATCTAAACTTCATGAGGCTACTCTGAATAATTATCCAGTAAGTAAAGCACTTTGAATAATGGCTAGCAGAAAACATACATTTGATAAATGTTAATTATTATTACTTTATTCTCCCAATAACCTCATGAAATAAGGTTATTGTTTCTACTTTACATTTCAGGAGGCTAGCTAACAAGTGACACAACTGTCTTTCTCTGGTTCAGTACTACTTCACTAATACCAGGATATTAGAAAATGTCCTCGTTATAAAACAAAAGCACAGGACAGTAAGTTTTCTTTAGTCTCAGAATAAAATCTCTTAGAATAAAGTGTTCTTAAATTTCAACAACGGCATCACATTATGACTTTGTTAGCCAAATGGATGTGAAAGACACTAAAATTAATCAAATGTCAAGTCGTGACTAGCAGTACTAGATAAAAACAAAATCAGTCATCAAAACAACTCCTTAGCAACCATCTAATATAGAAACTAAGATACATTTTGTAACCAGTCACACTGGGACTAGTCTGACAACTAGGAGCCTTTGCACCCTTCCTCTCTTCAAAGTTGACACTCACCCATAGGCTCAGGTGTGACTCGGGCCCAATGGACCAATTCTGACTTTAAGAAAGAAGAGTTTAAAATTCAGCATCTCTGTATCAACTCATTGTTTCTATCCAAGTAATTCTTGTGCCTTGTTCTGGAAAACATGGCCACTATGTAATCCCTCTGTGTCAAAACCTAGCCTGGCAACCATCATAGTACCACACTATTCCCTTCTACTTGGGAATTCTACTCTCCTTTTTCATAACTTCTGGGAACTGAAGCCAATTCTGGTTCAGTTAGTAGCAGTTAGTGCTACTACTTACTGCAAGACTTCCCTGATGCTTTATCAACACTGAGCCTACCCTCACCGCTACCCCAATGGCCACATAACATGCCAAGGTGGCCTCTGCTCTCCTTCGAATCTTCATGGCACATATGGCTGCTCCTTTTGCCATTGTTCGACCCTGTAACCAGAAGCAAAGTTAGGCTATCCACCAGTATAAAATAAAACCAAGGTTAATATGTCTCAGGTGACCCAACCTTCTAAAAACTGGCATATAACAAAGTATTTCTCATCTCTTGCTGACTTGTGCCGTGTTCACCTGAAACTGTTTACTCCAAACTCTAATATTTTTATCTTTTTCATATCTGGGGCTATCAAAGTATCAGTACCAAAACCCCAGACTTTCTCTCTCCCTTTTATTTTCTTGCCTAAAGTTTAGCTAACAGCAAGTTACCTATTTGCCAATGACTAGAAAAGTGATGTTACCAAAGAAAATGTTCAAATAGCTAGTATAACATGAAAGGAGCTCAATATTATTAGCCATTAAAAAAAAAAAAAATGTTGCCGTTGAGTTGATTCTGACTCATGGCTACCCCATGTGTGTCAGAATAGAACTGTGCTCCATAGGGTTTTCAATGGCTGATTTTTCAGAAGTAGATTGCCAGGCCCTTCTTCCCAAGTGCCTCTGAGTAGACTCAAAACTCCAACCTTTTGGTTAGCAGCTTAGTATGTTAACCATTTGTACCACCCAGGGACTGCCATTAGTCATTAAACCCACTACCATCGAGTTGATTCCAACTCATAGTGACCCCATAGAGTTTCCAAGGCTGTAAATCTCTACGGAAGCAGACTGCCACATCTTTCTCCTGTGGAGCTGCTGGTGGTTTCCAACCAAGGACTTTCTGGTTAGCAGTCGATCTCTTAACCACTGCGCCACCAGGGCTCTTCCTATTAGTCATTTAAAAAAAAAAACCTGTTGCTGTCAAGTCGATTCTGACCCATAGCGACCCTATATGACAGAGTAGAGCTGCCCCATAGGGTTTCCAAGGAGCAGCTAGTGGATTTCAACTGCCGACCTTTTGGTCAGCAGCCGTAGCTCACTGTAGCTCTCAATCACTGTGCCACCAGGGCTCCCCGTTAGTAAATTAAAATTACATTGGGACAGAACTACATACTCACTAAACCAAAAACAAACAAAACAAACCTGCTGCCATCAAGTCGATTCTGACTCATAGTGACCCTACAGGACAAAGTAGAACTATCTCATAGAGTTTCCAAGGAGTGGCTGGTGGATTCGAACTGCTGACCTGTTGGTTAATAGCCAAGCTCTTAACTACTGTGTCATATGCCCGTTAGAATGGTTATAATTTAAAAAAAAAAACAAAAAGAAAAAAAAAAAACAACAATAACAATTGTTATGAAAGATGTGGAGAAACTGGAAAGCTCATTATTTGTGGGAATGTGAAAATGGCACCTACTTTGGAAAAACAGTCTGTCAATTTCTTAAAAAAGTTAAACACAAATTTACCGTACAACCCAGCAATTCCATTACTATGTATCTAGCCAAGAGAAAAGAAGCCCTGGTGGCACAGTGGTTAAGCACTCAGCTGCTAACCGAAAGGCTGGTGGTTGAAACCAACCAGCCTCTCTGCAGGAGAAAGTTGTGGCAGTCATTTCTAAAAATATTTACAGTATTGGAAACCCTATAGGGTAGTTCTACTCTGTCCTATAGGATCACTAGGAGTCAGAATTGACTCCACGACAATGGGTTTTGGTATCCAAGAGAAATGGAAATATATATCTACACAAAGACTTCAATATGAAGGTTCATAGTAACATCATGCAAGATAATTTAGAAAAAAAAAAGTGGAAAAAATCCAAATGTCTATCAAGTAGTGAATAGATAAACAAAACGTTTATCTACCACACAATGAGATACTATTCAACAATAAAAAAGGACTGCTGATACATGCTACAAGGATGAGCCTCAAAAAAATGCTAAGTGAAGGGAGTCAGACACAAAATACCACAATCTGTAAGATTCCATTTGGGGGAAACTCCCAGAATAGGCAATCCATAGGAACAAAGTAGGAACGTAAATTAATGATTGTCTAAGGCTGAGGACAGGAATATGGATTGACTGTGAATGGGTATAAGGAACCTCTTTGGTGCTAGAAATATTCTAAAATTGGATTGTGGTGTTGATTTCACAACTGTGTAAATTATTTTAAAATTATTTAATGGTATACTTTAAAAAAGTGAATTTTGTGGTATATAAATTATGCCTGTAAAAGGCAATTTAAAATGACTAATAAAAAATAAGGAGAAATAAAGAAATTAAAGAAGAGTTTCCAAGAAATGACACTGTTCAGCTGCTATCTCTCTATAAGGCAAGAAATCCAAACAGGAGGAAAATATTTAAATGAAAGGTGAAACAAAAGAGATATTTTGCTAATCAGTATGTAGATGATGACTGCATGCTATTTTATTCAAAAACTTTAAAATATTGCCTCATTTACTGCTATCTACTCAAGATATGACATACTAGGATTTGGAATGTTATTTCCAATTTATTTTAATTTACAACAGTAACCATCAAACAAAGGGATTAGTGGAAGTTCATAAAAGATTATAATCTTATATTGAAATAACACTCATAAAAGAATCTTCAAATGAAGAAAATAGGAGATGTTTCCTCCAAGAGGGGAGGCAGAATCTAACAGGTATTCCTAAATTCCTAAACAAATTAAAAAAGGGGGCCAAGATGATGTCCTTGATTTCCTCTTCAAAACACACAAATGACCGAACAAAGATTCTCGATATTCTTGCAGTACAGGAGATACTAAGTTTCTTCAAAAAGACTGCACAAATTACAGTTAGAATTACATAGCATGGCAATTTCAAAAAGAGACGATGTGCTTGAAAAACACACACACATACATACATAAAATACACCTTAATGAAACTGCAGAAGGGAGTAAGAGAGTGTTGGAAAAGGAAGGGACTTGGAGCCAGAAGACCTAGATTACAGACTAAGCATGGTATTTTGTAGCTCTGCAACAAGTCACTTAACCTCTCTAGCCATTGTCATTTTTCTGATCAAATATAATTACTACCATCTTCACATGATTATTATGAGGACTAAATGGTATCCTATAAAATCTTAAGTATTATTATGCAAGATAATTTGCCAAAAGAAAGTTAAAGAGATCCTACTATAAGAAATTTCCATATGTATTTATACAGCCGGTGAGAACCCCAAACAGAACAGCTCAACTGCTAGCCAGGAAAAAAAAAAAAAAAATGTACTCAAAAGAATACCAAATCAAAAAAACCAAACCGACTGCCATCGAGTAGATTCTGACTCATAGCGACCCTGAAGCACAAGAGTAGAACTGCCCCATAGGGTTTCTAAGGAAGGGCTAGTGGATTCAAACTGATGACCTTCTGGTTAGCAGCCAAGCTCTTAACCACTGCACCACCAGGGTCTCCGGTGAAACGAATAGTAGTATTAAAATTAGAGAGATGGGACAAACTCTTGTTTACAATAGAAAGCCAACTAGAAATGTACACGGAATAATGGGATTTTTTAAAATGACCATTTAGCAGACATCATAGTAATTGTTTCAGGCAAGATTCATCAATGTATGCTAAAAGGGTCAAAGTTGAAGAACAACAGAGAATAAGCATCTCCCCATAATTACAAAGAAATAGCACCTTTATGACCAAGAAACCTTGCAGACAGCACCTTAACCAAGTGAGCAAAACTAACGTCACTGGTAACGAAGCAACATCACATGCCTCCTAACATGATGCACTGAGTATAACACATTTCTGCTGTATTTTGGGGGAAAATGCCTAAGACCTAAATCTAACCACAAAGAAAAACCAAACAAACCCAAATACAAAACAACTGGCTTTTACTCTTCAAAATTATTAATCTCATGAAACACAAAGAAAGACTGAAGAACTTGTCCAGATTAAAGAAGACTAAAGAGATATCACAACTGAATGCTATGCATGAGATTTTCATTTGGTATGAAAGAATTAGGACACTTGGAAAAATCTGATTTAGGTTTATAGATAAGTTAATATTATATCATTGTTAATTTCCTGCTATTGATAATTGCATTGCATAACATAATGTCTTTCTTTTAAGGAAATATACACCAAAGTATTTAGGAGTAAAGGGACATCATGATGGCAACTGAGTTTTAAAAAGTTCAAAAACAAATACTATATACACTGACACACACATGGAGAGGGAGGGAGGAATGGAAAGACAGAAAAGGAAAAGCAAATGTTATTTGTGGATTATGAGTGAAAGAATCATGAGTGATTCTTTGCACTATTTCAGTGTTTTTGTAAGTCTGAAACTATATTAAAAGAAAAAAAGCAACTCATTATTGACTTCTCTGATGATACCTCTACATAGGCAGCTGACAGCTTCAATTAAGTTACTGAAAATTAAAGAGGTTCTGCTGTCAAATATATAATAATTATAAAGAGAAATCTGACATTTAAGTGCATTCTAAAAAACATTCCAAAGAAATATCTATATTGAAGTTATTTTCCATTTGCTCGTTCTTAAAACTCATTTCTCATGCCCCTAAATTTCTTCCAAGAGGGGAGACAGAATATAACATCTGTTATAATTTTACATATCTGCTATTCTACATATAAAAGATTTATTGATTACCCAGTTAATTCTATATTCCTGTTGCTGCTTTAAAAAAAAAAAAAAGGCAGAATAAACAAGCACAAACTGTGCATGTTTTCAGGAAAGATTGTTTCATTTCCCCATTTAAAAAAAAAAAGAGAGAGATTACACGCTATACTTTAGAAATAGTCGGAAATCACTACATGTTCCATTTTAAAAAAAAAAAAACTAGCATATTCTTTTTTTTTTTCACTCTCTCTGATTTTTCTCCTTCTGTGCCTTTTTCAGAGTCTAGTATAATACCTTAGAGGCTGCTAGTGAATACCTGTGGCACTGACTAGCCAATGTCTATGCGTATTTACTTGCAAATACCCTTAAGTATACAATACTATTTAACCTTTCAGAGAAAATACTGAAGTTGTCAAGGATTTCATTTTACTTGGGTCCACAATCAATGCCTACGGAAGCAGCAGTCAAGAAATCAAATGACATACTGCACTGGGCAAATCTGCTGCAAAAGACCTTTGTAAAGTGTTAAAAAGCAAAGACTTCACTTTAAGAACTAAGGTGTGCCTGACTCTAGCTGTGGTGGTTTCAATTGCCATATATGCATGTGAAAGCTGGACAATGAATATGGAAGACTGAAGAAAAACTGACGTCTTTGAATTATGGCATTGGCAAAGAATATTGAATATACCATGGACTGTGTTATGGATTGAATTGTGTCCCCCAAAAATATGTGCGTCAACTTGGCTAGGCCATGATTTCCAGTACTGTGTGATTTCCACCACTGATGGATTTTGTCATCTGATGTGATTTTTCTATGTGTTGTAAATCCTGCCTCTATGATGTTAATGAGGCAGGATTAGAGGCAGTTACTTAATGATGCAGGACTCAATCTACAAGTTTAGGTTGTGTCTTAAGTCAGTCTTTTTTGAGATATAAAAGAGCAAAGCAAGTAGAGAGACGGGGACCTCATACCATCAAGAAAGCAGCACCTGCAGCAGAGTGCATCCTTTGGACCTGGGGTTCCTGTGTGGAGAAGCTCCTAGACCAGGGAAAGATTGATGACAAGGACCTTCCCCCAGAGCTGACCTTCCCCTGAAGCTGGCATCCTGAATTGGGACTTCTAGCCTACTATACTGTGAGACAATAAACTTCTCTTTGTTAAAGCCATCCACTTGTGGTATTTCTGTTACAGCAGCACTAGATAACTAAGACAGACTGTCAGAACAAACAAATCTGTCTTGGAAGAAGTACAGCCAGAATGCTCCTTAGAAGAGAGGATGGTAAGACTTTGTCTCATGTACTTTGGACATGTTACCAGGAGGGACCAGTCCCTGGAGAAGGACATCATGCTTGGTAAAGCAGAGGGTCAGAAAAAGAAGACCCTCAATGAGATGGACTGACACAGTGGCTGCAACAATAGGCTCAAACAAACACAGCAACAACCGTGAGGACGGCGCAGGACCAGGCAGTATTTCATTCTGTTGTACACGGGTCTCTAAGAGTCAGAACTGACTCGACGACACTTAACAACAACAACATGCAACCTTCACAAAAATCATTTTCATATTGAACTCAGGAAACAATTTATGTAACCATAAGGATCAGGGCTAAAGATAAAAAAAATTCCTATAAACTGAAACTAAAGAACATTATCTTTCCAGAAATATAAATACTAATAATAATTATAATTATGATGAAAATTGATATTAAGTGTCTTATGTTTCTGGGCATTTTGCTTAAGTTACCATGTTATCTTCATTCTTTAATAAACAGGTTATCAGGTTCCGTGGTCAAATAAGTTTAGAAAATGTTGAGTAAAACAAAGTGGATAAATCAAGCTTATTTTACTAGAAGGTATCACAGTCTTTAATATGCTAATATGAATTCTGAATCTCAAAGACAAAGATAAGTTTATAGCAGCACAGAAATTGTATTATTTTAGAGAGTATCTATATGGGTATCCCACATATTGTAAAATGCTACACTATACCATTTTATCTAATGACGTAGCAAAGATTCTGTTTTTGTTTATCATTGCCAAGTTACAGGCTGTATGCAGCCCAGGTAACTAAAGCAATGATAACTTCTAGCTTACCGTTGTGCATCCTGTGCCATCCATCTCTTTCACAATCTCTGCCAGAAGATCCAAATAAAGCATCAGCCCTGGGACTTGGGGGATCAACCTAGAGGAGGCAGGAGATCAATGCAAAAAAGAGCTTAAATATCCCAGTCTTTCAGTCTTATGGCTCCAGAAAAACAACTAGAGTACATAGACCACATGTCATCAGCTTAATGTGACAGTGCCTACAAGGGTGAGGCATGTTCCATGGGACTTAGTCAAGAGCTTAGTCAGATATTTTGCTATTCATTTTTAAACAAAATTGAAACTAGACTCTGGAAATGTTTAAATATATATTTGTGCTTACAAATATGAACAGATTAGCAATTGAAATGTTCCTTGCCCCACTGCCTTTTTTGCTTTCCATTACAAGGTTTAAAAAAAGAACAATCTACTTTGCCATAGTTAAAAAACAAATTTGCTATTTAGCATGCTGAGTGCTTTATAGCTTATAGATAATAACAGTCAACCAAGTTTCCTAATTAAAGATTAAAAAGTCAGGGTGATATAAATCTTGTAAAAAAAGACAACTCTATCAAAAAAACTACAAAATTGTGTGTATCAAAGGACACCAATCAAGACGCATAGAACAGGAATGGGAAAAAAATATTTGCAAATCATATATCTGATAAAGATATAGCATCCAGAATATATAAAGAACTCTTACCATTCAACAACAAAAAGACAAAAACAACCCAATTAAAAAATGGGCAACAGCACTGAACAGACATTTCTCCAAAGAAGATATACAAATGGCCAACAAACACATGAAAATATGCTCAATGTCACTAGTCAGTAGGGAAATCCAAATCAAAACCACAATGAGATACCACTTCATACCCACTAGAATAGCTGTTATGTATTGATTTGTGTCTCCCCAAAATATGTATTGGGATCCTAACCCTTATTCCTGTGGATGTAATAGCTGGGAAAAAGGGTTTTCATTGCTATGTTAATGAGGTCATACCAATGTAGAGTGTGTCCAAAACCTATCACTTCTGAGTTACAAAAACAGTATATTAGACGCAGAAGGGAGCACATACTGGAGAAGACTGATGCCGTATGAGGACTGCCAAGAACCAACGACTGCCTAAGACTACCAACAAAGAAGGAATCCACATGGTCGAGGTCTTAATTTGGACTCTTAGCCTCTCAAACCGTGAGAAAATAGAATTTCTGTTCTTTGAAGCCACTCACTTGCGGTATTTCTGTTACAGCAGTCCTAGATAACTAAGATAATGGCTGTAATAAAAATTTAAAAAAGGAAGGAAAACTAAAGAAGCATTGGCAAGGAAGTGGAGAAATTGGAACCCTCATTCATTGCTGGCAAGAATGTAAAATGGTGACAGCTGCTGTGAAAAACAGCTTGACAGTGTCCCTTGGAAAGTTAAACATAGAATTACCATAAAAAACAAACAATAAAAGGTATATGCAAAAAAGACTTGAAAGCAGGACTCAAACACATACCTGTACACAAATGTTCATAACAGCACTAATTCCCAATAGCCAAAAGGTAGAAACAACCCATTATTTATCAACTAGTGGATAAATAAACTAAATGTACTATATCCGTACAATGGAATGTTTCTCATCCATAAAAAAGGAATAAAGTACCATGCTACTACACTGATGAAGCTAGAAAATTGAAGTGAAAAAGAAATAAGCCAGACACAAAAGGCCACACATTGTTTCATTCCATTTTAATGAAATATCCAGAACAGGCATAGAGATAAAAAGACGAGTTCTTGCCAGGGACAGGGGGAAGGAGGCATTGGGAGTGAATGCTTAATGGAAACAAGGTTTCCTTTCAGGGGATGAAAAAGTTCTGGGACTAGATAGTTGTGATGATTGCATAACAATGGGAATGCACCTTATGTCACTGAACAGTGACATCATTAGGGGGGTGTGGACTGCACCAGGTGACACTGTCAGAGAAGGTGACATTAAAATGATTGTCTATAAGATTTATGTGCAGTGTTTCAGCGAAAATATATTATTTTTTAATAAAAATATCCTTGTAGTTAGTAATGACAACAAAAACATTTTTCGTAAGCCCAGCTTACATGTATCAATATACCTACAAGGCTAAAACTCTATGTTAGTTTACTTTTGAACCTTTTAATGTGCTCTGGTCACACTGTCATTGTTACCCAATTACCATGATACTTCGAATCATGTGGTTTTGTCTGCATGCGCTACAAGCACGAGCTATTGTTTTTGTTGCTGCCAGTGTTTTTATAGTCACTGGTTTGTCAAATTTTCTGATGTTTTAGCTACAGTCCTATGGTAATTAGTATTTGTGAACCTACATCAATAAGTTTTTTGAGAATGAAGTAGTAATTAAAGGAAAAGGAGAAAAATCAAAAAAGGCTTCTGCCCATTTACTAATAATGTTGCAACTAATAATGTAATTCAATGTAGAAAGATTTTACAAAACAGTTTTGTTATCGGTATTCATGTAATCTAAGAAATATTACATTTAAGCAATTTACAACTATTTCACATATTATTCTATGATTCAAATTGATAATAAACATTATTAAGGATTCCGTGTGGTCTGGTATGGGGAGGAGGTCCATGGGGGGGGTGACACCAACCCTAGTGACACCACTGTCACTGAATTGTACATTTTATAACGACTGACATGGTAAAATTTACCACAACAATAAAAAAAAAGACCCTATTCTGCATAAAAGAAAAAGAAAAGAGTGTCACTTAACACTTTAAAGATTGCAGTGCTTGTTTGTTTGGAAGCATGTTAACTGATATCTTGAAACCAATCCTATTCTTTCAGATTATTTTTCATACCATGTACATAAAAACAGAATGTCTTTCATAAAAGTGTTCACATTTTGCAGCATACGCATGTATGAAGTTACGAAAATATTGTTTACATCAGCAGCAAAGGAGAATGAAAAAAAAAAAACAAAGACACAAGGAAAATATTAGTCCGAAGGACTAATGGACCACATGAACCACAGCCTCCACCAGTGTGAGCCAAGAAGAACTAGATGGTGCCCAGCTACCACCACCAACTGCTCTGAAAGGATCACAATAGAGGGTCCTGGACAGAGTGGGAGAACAATATAGAACAAAATGCAAATTCACAAAAAAAGACCAGACTTACTGGTCTGACAGAGACTACAGGAACCCCCGAGACTATGGCCCTCAGATACCCTGCTAACTCAGAACTGAAGCCAAAGATTAGATAGGCCTAGAAAATAAACAGTAACACATGTGAGGAATGTGCTTCTTAGTCATTCAAGTATATAAGACCAAATGGGCAACACCTGCCCAAAAGCAAAGATGAGAAGGTAGGGACAGGAAAACTGGACAAATAGACATGGAGAACCCAAGGTGCAAAAGCGGAGAGTGCTGAGACATTGCAGAGACTGCAACCAATGTCACAGAACAATTTGTGTATAAATTTTTGAATGAGAAACTAATTTTTGCTGTAAACTTTCACCTAAAAGCACAATAAAATTAAAAAAATATATACTGTTTAGTTATCAATTTGTTGAGTGCTTTTAAAAATCATGAATGGCTGTGGGAGGAAAAAAGGCATCTCTATGTTTACACATACAATTGGAAAACCTCGGCTTCCTATACAATTAAGTAAGCAATTTTCTAGCTAAAGACTTAGAAGTATGCATTTCTGTTCATTAAAAGGCTGGAGAGAGGGTTCTTTTAAAATAAAAATGTCAAGGTTTATACCTAGCATTATTAGAATTACTCCATTTAAACAGTGACATGAAAAACAGTAATAAACATTTTAAGAGCAGTTATTTCCCTAAACAATATTTATGTGACTAATCCCCAAAATATTCCTGGTTATCTTTGTACATACACATTTTAATTAAAATGTTACTATTCCTTCAAATTACAACTTAGTATGTTCTTCTTTCCCATTTAATTTGTAATTGTAGGCAGACATAAAATTAGAGGCATTCTAAAACTGCCATCAAAAATCAAGTAAATATTATCTAGATATTGTTGAAACAATCAAAAAAAAATGTGGCCAGAACCTATAATCAAATTCTACAGAAGACAAATACAATAAAAATAATCTCAATAAAATATTATCATTTAAAAGTATCCATATTACACTATAAACTTTCCTTTTACAATAAAAGGTCTTTAGGTTAAAAAGAATAATGGATTTACAGTCAAAATATAAAGATGGAATAAACTATGGCTTAAAGCACATCTAAATTTATCTTAAAAGGTGTAACAGAAAATTTGAACCTCCAGAGGTTGTATGTTAAAAAATCTATTCGACCAACAAAGGGGCATATTTACATGCTGGAATAACTCATTTTGGATTTGCAAATAATGAATTAGAAACATTAACACCAGGAATAGTTTTATAGATATCACAAAAAGTTGTTATAGTTCTATAGGCACATGAATTTTTAGGTCATTTTCTAAAGCTTTTATATATATATATATACACATATATATGA